TTTGTGTCTTTCAAAATAACAATTTAGTACTGTTTTGAAAAGGCTTGAAAAAAAAAATTAAAATTAAATGTACATTAAAATTGTTGCTCTACCCCTTTACCACACATTCCTGTACAAGACAACAGTAGAAAACTGAAGATTACATTTGTAAATTCTCATTGGGCAAATGCAATAACAATAACAATATTAATATTGTATTCAGCTTTTCGATTAGAACGGAAAGACATCCTCACTTGGAATATTATTTTGTGTCTCTTAGCCAATAACAGCATGAATAAATAAAGAAAATAATCAGATACAAATGTCATCTGCTAAGGAGCACAACAGGAGCCCATCCACTCCTGTTAATACAAATAGCCCTGCAGCCTCTTCCCTGCCCTGCAGATAACACAGTTACAGTGTTTTTATCAGAATTTTAAAGACAAATTATTCCCAAAATAACAAAAAAAGCCAATATGGAAAATTATATTGGTATTCAGTCATAATATTTTAGAGAAATCTGTAAGCCTCCTTTGTTCTCCACCAAATCCAGATAGTAATCGTCAGTTCTAGTTCATGATTTCGATATTCAATAAATTGCTGTAAACATGAACTGAAAAACACTAAAACTAAATTGCTGTCTTTATCCTCATGGATAATGGATAAATGTATATTGAGCTTTTTGCTAAAAACACCAGGTTTTGGAAACATTGCTGATGTGTAAGTGGTGTATACAATCAAACACACACACAAAATAAAAGGGCCAATTAACAAAAAATACTCATCTTTTGTGGTAAAGTTTCTAATTATTTCAAGGTAAAGCACAACCTCCATGTCTTACCTTTTAATAGTATGCCTTAATGTCATAAAAAAAACAGTCATTTAAACATCTGCGTCTCAACCCTCATCATTTTAAAAACCTTACTGTGCAAGATTGTGTAATCCAATCAAAGAGCTGACCTGTTGATTACATTAGATGCCACTAAAGTGTATAGATGACTTTAATATGAATAAAATACAGTTTAAAGTAACTGCAAATCAAACAACTATTCTAATATATAATCAAATGTAGTGGAATATCATAAAATATTCAGTGCATATTCAGACATAAAATGAGTAAAAACTGAGTAAACTGTGAACCTATGCCAGCAGTTTAGTTATATATGAATTAGTTAAATATGACTGTGTTTAAATTCTCACCATCTAAAGTTGCCAGTTTAGGAACTGAAGCATTTGCTATTTTGACCAACAGGGGTGCTACAGTACAACCCACTGCACTGGAACTGACAAAAATCCTGATCATCCTTGATCAGCTTGTGCTCATTCTCAGAGTCAGAAAAGAAAAAACAAGCAGTCTCCCCTCCTCCTCTTGTACTGTGTCACCCATCTGCACAAGAGGCAGACTAGTCCTAACAAATTTTACCATATTCTGTTTCCTGCACTGTGCGGTTTGGGGAAACTTGAGCATGACTCGGGTATCAGTCACGGTTTTCTGTCACATCTGCTGGTCAAAATAGTTTTCTGCCAGAAACTCAGTGTGGTCCTTTGCATTCAGTCCATATTCAAGAAACGAATGTCTGCTAAGCACAACGTGCCCGTGTGCACAAACCCAGTTTGTGCACACGGGCATAAGCGAAATGAGACAGATGTGAGTTAGGCCCGGATAAATGCATTCTTTTTCTTCAGAGAGAGGAAAGCTTCATGGGGTTGACTGCAGGGGATGGCTGCCCCACATCCCACCAGTGCAGTGAGGGGAGGCAGAGGTGGAACAAGACATGTTTGGGATGGATTGAGGGAGATGAGGAGTCAGTTGTCAGAAGCAGATGTGACCCCCCTCACCTCCCTCTGCCTAAATAAGTCATGCTCTAAATCCTTTTATCTACACATGCTAACAGGTACTAGTGAGTTCCCTGAGGAGAATGTAGAGAGAAAAACATGCACAACAAGAAAAAACCCAGAAAAACGTAGAGACACAGAGAGAAAGATCACTGCAGCAAAAGGCTTAAGCAGGTTTTTCTTTCACCATGGTATAATTCTGATCAAACTTCAACTCCGATTCACTCTTTCTTACTCATATTCACACAGAAAAATTACAGGATGGTGATGCAACAGATTTAGAAAAATAGGAAAAGCAGAGATATGTGATCACTTATTCAAACTCTTATGAAAGACGGGGGAAAAAGAGCAACAGCAAACTGGAGTTAGTAGACTTTTTAAAGACAGCTTTATAGATTCTAGAGATTTCGTTATTTTTCTTAATACAACACAGACGGGGCACACATTCTCTGGCATGCAACTTTGCACAGATTAAACCTTTAGGTGCCAAGCGAAGACACAAGCACACATAGAGCATACGCAGCAATGAAAATTTAACGCAAAATTAGCATAATACACACTTGATCCAACATAATCTCCCACAATAAAATAACATTCTTGCACACATGCTTATGCACAGTAATGCTATGTGAACAGGAGTCACTGAGTGTGAAATGGATGCCCCCCAATCCTCAACCAAGCTCGCCCCCCACCCACAGCCCTGGTGCCATCAGCCTTAGCCAGCTGGCGGTGGTCCCAGCACTTCCCCTCCACGCCACTGCCTCCCCATAACCCTGCATGCTTTGATATCAGCCAGCCCCTGGCTACCCAGACATCTGGAAGTTATTATTCAACAGAGCACACCACAAAGCACCATTTCCATAATGAAACATCACATTTTGTTTTAGCGCCCTGCTTTCTCCTGCTGTCCTCATACATGTTTGTTACAACTTGTAGCATATTTCTGACCTCTGACCATCTTGTTTGATTGCTTGTCTATTCTTTGCTCCGCGGGATATACATATTAATTGACTCAGTGGAAAATTACGTTTAAAAATGCATTCATTTGACCTTTGACACTTTAGTACTGAAACTCAGTCGAGTGAAAAAGCCAGCATTAACTATAAAAGAGCGTAATTAAAGATCAACCTATTCAGAGCCAGAACAATACACACTCTTCCCCTCATTCCCATTAACTACCAGCAGATATCCCACTCTCTGTTTGGCTCTGTGAATTTATGACTGACATATTGCCATTGCTTCCATTTTCTAGCATTGCGCACGACTACCGTCTGATTGTTAGCATAATGGAAATGTTTCACTGCTTTTATTTTCATCACAACAATGATTGGCTAATAGTTTCTGACCAGCCAGGGACCAGAATTGTCTGATTCTCATTCTTGCAGCGAGCAGCTCCCTTTCATGCAGGAGTAGAGGCAAAAAAGTTGTGCACACCTTTCAAAGCCACATGCTAGCGATAAATTATCGTTAGCGTGGAAGTTCCTCACAGAGAGTGAGGGCACAACGTTTGGCAATGTGCCCGACTGCCACAAAATGTTTGTAACAGTAAATCTAATCAAACTCTTTAACGACCTCCCTTATGCTGAACGTGGACATTTTAAAGAAGCGAATAAATGGAAAGTGTCTAAAACTAAAGCTATCCACAACTCTGAGCCCGAATCAAATGGGAAAACAAGAAAATGGTCAATGTCCTGTTATGTGGTGTTAGAAACATCGAAGAAAATGATCTTACTACCTGATAATTGTTTTCTTATATAAATCTATTGCACCTGCTTTTGATTGATAAAGTAAAATATATAAAATAAAGGTGGGTGTACAGCAAATCATTTTCAGTTGATTATTTGCACTTCCTTCCAGGAGCATAGATCTTTATTTTCATTTGTTTCAGCTGTTGCCAGAGAAAATCATATACTGCATTGAGAAAAAGTAGAATTTTGCTACTATATGCCAGATACAGTTTTAGAAAGAAAACACTGACAATCACTGGGGAACTTTTAGGCTCATATGCATTTGCACTTTTACATGCAGGGCAGATTTTAGCCCGCTTTATTAGAGAAAACCAATAGAAATGATAGCCAGCTTGGTAGACTGAAATTTGAAAATTGAAGGCCAGAAATGGGCATTTCTCCCTCTCTCTCAGTGGTCACTGTTTCTGTGCACAGTTCCTTCCAAAAATAAGTGCAATGAACAAACTCAAACTAAAGGTAAAGTTGAATCATTTTTATCCAATCCATGCACAAGTTGGAGCAGATTATGTATTTGTGTTTGCGAATCTGACGACGTCGGCTGTGCAGTCTGAGCCATCAGAGCTGATTTGTGCTGTGGAAAGATCTGACTCACTGGTAAAGTGGCCGTTTAGAGGTTTTTCAGTGAAGAAAGCTGCAGAAAGCAGCAAAAGTACATTTAGTTTGATGCAAAAACCAAAATAATGAGCTCAAAGAAGTTATAATCAGGTGGAACTTCCCTGTGGTAACAGAAAGGTAACACCTTTCTCATTAGAGTCCATCTATAACAAGCACGAGTGTCTTCAACATTTTAGTGTTTTTATTTGACTGGCAGATAATGGCCGCTTCTTACCGAAAACGAGAACTGTCTACTGAGTAAAAACGAATCCTTGGCAGCCTTTTTTCATTTTTTTTTAATGTAAGTGAGATTTGATCTGTTCCGGAATTTATTTTCCAATAACTTATGTGAGATGTGCACTTAGTTAATGAACACAGGCCCCTGTTTTTGCCTAATGTAATTAACACTTGGGGTGATATTGGCTCTCAGAGCTGGCCTTGTGGTACCGTAGTCATGGGGACAGTTAGGCTCATACTGCTCAGTCTCTGTCTCTGACCTCTGACAGCTTTTAAATAGAAAAGGAAGAGACAAGAACCCCTGGGATACCCAAGGCACAGGATGTTTTCCAATAACAGCTTATGGCTGAGGGGAATCTTACTCTCCCCCTGTGGCAGTTTGATTCTATCACTTTTAACTGTGTGGCACTGCTACTTCTTTCTGCTCCACCCCCTCTCTCCCCTTCGCTGAAACCCCAAGGAGTTTTGACCTGATTCTTGGCTGTTACTATCGCCAGACCACTGGAGAAAATGTGATAGGAAAAAAAAACTCTGGAACGATAATTGAAATTTGAAGCATAATATTTCTGTGTGTCTGTGCTCGAGCTCATAAAATCTGAAACTCACCTCATTTTCAGTTTGTTGGGATGATGGTAGGTCAATCAGTGCCAACTGCACCATAGTCTCCCAGACATGAGTGTGCGGACCACTTGCTGTCAGTTTCAATTGGACAGGTTCATCCAGGTTGGCTCCCTCTCGTTGGGCAAAGATGGATCCATCTGTCCGCACGCCAAAGAGGGGGTTGCTGCTCTGGAAGACCACACCTTCATTTCCCATGCAGTCATCAAACTTCACTGGAGACACACAAAAAGAGAGGATTTGAATTCACTATTCATCACAGTTGTAGAAACTAAGAAGCAAAACAGGTACAAACACTGGAAAGCATGAAGTTGAAACTGCTTTCCTAACTCACAAAAACATATCTAAACATAGCGTACCTGCAGTACTCGCATCTCATTAGGAGGAACATGACAAACTGGCTACTCTTAAGAAAGATTATTTAGCCTAGTCCGACACTGGTGTTTCTCACCATTTAGTCTCTATTAATAATAAGGTCAAGCAGTCACTGTGATTAGACTCCCGAGGATTATTGTATGCAGATGCGTGCCTCTTTATCCTGTAAATATAGAGGTGAAACATGACAATGACAAGAAGCTGTAACTGAATTTGATAAAGATGCATGTAAAGATGTCTGCTAGTTTATTGTTAGACTTACAAAGAAGAATACAGCATACATACGGACAACAAACAACCTTTAAATCTTCTGTCTTCTATATTTAATCTGCTCATATAGTCAGTTTTTTGACAAAGACTATGCTTTTGGCTTTAGTTGTAATTCTTCTCTTTCTCCAATTATAAACTGAAGGCACATACAACATATAGAAAGCGCTGTGGAGTATGCCACATCATTATCTTACTCTAATGTACAGTAGGGGAACTGCTGAATGAGGATTTAAATAGTTTCTCCTTCTATATGGCTTGGCTTGATAGCATATTTCACAGACTCCTGCAAATCACAGGGTTTGCATTGCTTCAGTAGTTTTTCTAAGGCTTTATTACACACATCCACCGGTTTCCATTAGAGAATACAGTGTAAGCGTGTGGAGAAAACTAACAACCTGACCTGAGTGTTATGTAATTTTTGTAGCCGTTATAAATAAAAATATTTTTGCAGTGCAGTTAGCACTCCTTATTTGCTCCTTCTTTCCCTGACAAAATCAACATCTTTCCAAATATTGATTAAACCTATGATTCAGTTTAACCAATTAGGCAAAAAGATTAAAGGAAGCTTACGCTACACAGAAAGCATTGCACTGAGACGGGAAACACAAACCGTAATGTAATCTGAGGGATGTTAACGCAGAAAGCCTCTAGGGGTTTGTGTCCTTCATATTCTGTTAAATTAAGATGGCACCATAAACCTGTTCACCATGGAGCTTTCAGAGTTGCCAGGACACTCTTGTGTTTGCTCTCTAATGAAATTCTTGCGCAGTTCATAACAGGATGAGTCACTAGCGAGCACAGCCCATACCAGTCTCTCGTTCTCACTTCCTTTCTCCCTCGCAGCACCTGTAGCCTTCCCACTCAGAGATTAGAGTCCAGATAACATATCAAGGAAACCTTAAGCAGAATGCCATTACTCACAGATTTCTCATGGCTTTCTCTCTCCCCCAAACCACTACAATAGCTGAAACAAGGTTTCTATTACAGGGTGTAAACTATGATTAAATCCAGCTTTTTTTGTGCTGTCTAGCCCTAAAAACACCTGTGATCATGCCAGCGCCCTCCTCTCTAAGGCCGGTTGTTCAGATGGCCACTCAGAGCTCAGTCAGAGGGAATAGCCTCTCAACGATACTGTCCACAGAGTGTATCAGGAGCTGCACAAGAGTCCTGGTGTAGACAGAAAAAGGCAGGATATAGAAGATGGATTACATCAATACAAGAGGCAACAAAGCTTTGGATCATGGATATCATCAGACCATTGCTCTCTTTGTATTGCCGAACAACCCTCACCCCTACCTAAAAGCCTTGCTTGTCTTTTCAGTTTATCTCATTCACTTTTCTCTTTTTGTCCAACCCTGTGTCATTTCTTCTCTACCATCATTTTTTTTTTTCAGATTTACAAAGATTACATCTGGGGGTTGGGGGATGGGGATGATAACAAACACACCAGTTGGCAAACATGTGTCTGTGCAAACAGAGTTTTGGAACACTGCCTGAATATATTAACAATGAGAAGAAGTCAAAAATCAAATTCAAAGCATGCTTTATTATATTTCTAAGTGCTTGTATCTGTGAAGCATTCGAACACCTGAAAAAAACACAAGCAGCAGGTGGTCTGTTGCCCCTTCTCTCTGTGTCCTCCAATTATTGTCTCTTCTCTCTATAAACTAGGCACACAGCCAGCAGTGCAGCCATATTGCAGTTATGGCTGGCACAGGCCTGTAGGCTTATACTTTCCACTAAGAAAAGGGATAATCAGCAAGGGGTGCTTCAAGCCATATTAAAGAAAGCATGCACTTCTGTAGCACTTAAAAGGCATTCGCTATCAAAAATACATTTTGAATGTATCAGTCTTCATTTTAGGCATGATCACAGACATCAAAAGGAGATTGTTATTTCCATATGTAGTCATTTATATTTGGCATTATGGCTCGGTCCTGGAACCTCGCTATCTTTGCATCAAGAGAGCCAGCAAAACAAGAAGAAGCATCGGTGACAAAAGATCTGACACTGACTAACTCAGACACAGCACGATAGAAGGAGCCGTGGCGGAGATGTGTTGCAAAGTGGCTTGCAGATGATCAAGAAACATAACAAGCTGAAGCAACCCAGTTAGTGTTTTCTATGTGAGATTGGCCAGCTGGATGCTTAAAAGGTCATCAGCTAAGCCCTGGTGTTGAGATCAGCTGATCTGCCGAAACTGTGACTGACTGGACATTAAATAACTTAACCATGCTATGATGATTTTTTTTTTATGTGAAAGTAAGAAAATATTTGTAAACATCTTTTGCATGGTCTGAGAGTGATGCTGAAATAATGGGTTCACTTCACACCAAATCATAGTCAACTAATGCGGTAAGGCTAGAAAACAGGGTTAGATAATATCGTAATCTGTCTAGTTTACATATCATGTTTTCTGTCTGTTTACCAGTAAATAACTACATGAATGAATGAATGAATTATTAATTAATCAACACACAATCACTTCACAGTGGGCCATCTGTCTCCATCTCAACTCCTTCTACTTCTCTGTCATTTTCCTCTTTTCATCCTGCCTGTCTGCTCACTCTCCATTGTCCTTTATCCAATGTAGCCATGCTTCCTCTGTACATGTCCAAACTATCTCAACCTCGCCTCTAACTTTGCCTCCTAGCCACTCATCCTGAACTGTTCCTGTGATATACTCACACTGCATATATATTTTAATCTTGTTCGTCCTGGTCACTCCCAACACAAATCTTAATATTTCCATCTCCAAACCACAGCTCTCACTAACATCTTGTTAAGTCCAGATCTTAAATTCCTAATGTTTTAAAAGCAACAACACCTTAATGCTGTAAAGCGTCTCAGAAATTCATGTTCAGTAAAATCAGTAAGGTATGTAGTAATAGTAGTGCATGTGCTGTCAGAGTAAATCATTCCTATGCATGTGTAAGCCTGTATTTTCTCAGTGTTGGCATGTCTTAGCAATGACAAGCCAAACCAACTACACCCATACCCATTTGGAAATAGAGTGACAGGGTGTGGATAGAGTACCCAGAGGGACTTGTTCTTGCACCAGTTAAGAAAAGACAGTGCCAATTTTACCCCTCCATCAACATACGCATGCTCACACACACACACACGGACCTCCATAGCATAGCTCCTTTCACTCACTCGGGTCAATACCGCTATAAAAGAGATTATAAAAATTGGCCAGCAACAAAGCACTGAAGCCCAACGGCACAGTGCTACACATTAACAAGTCGTCCAAAGCAGTAGGCTCCGTTTGAGCATTGATCTGGCAAATAAGACAGACACCCCAGTGTGTCTGTCTTAAACAGCCAACACAGCACTTCTTCACCGACAGTCAACCCCTGAAATGTTACAAATTCTACCATGCTCAGTGCGTTCCAACACAGGAAAGGAATATAATCATTGATTTCTCCATTACGATACGGTGAAAGACAGTAAATGGAGCTTTGTGCGTTGCTTGGTTGTTATCACCATCCAACCCTCCCCACTACCACCCCGCCCCCCTTTCTAATTAAAGTTTCCATCTCACTCCAATAACACAAGGACAAGGAGGAGAGAAACACAAAAAAAGAGATGTGACCTTCTTGTGGTGTTCTATGGACAGCCTGGCAGGAAGTAGCTGACAAGTGTTGAAAGGGAAGTGAGAAAGGGATGGAGTCAGGGGACAGGGAGAAAGCTGAGGAGTGACAATAAGAAGGTGAGAGGGGAGGGGAGAAGGGAAGGATGAAGAATGTGTAGAGGTGGCAATAACTGTGACAGTGAAATTAACTGTACAGGAAAAACATGGAAATGAAAAAACAGCAAAAGTAAGGTAGTATGGTATATAAAAACTACATTGGATGCCATGCAGTTGAAGAAATGAAACCACATGTCTAAAATAGCGATGAGGAAGAAAAGGAGTAAGAACTTGGAGGTAAGGTGGAGCTGGAAACTGGGGAGGGCAGTGGATGAGGCCTGCACTGGGCTCCTGGCTCAGTGAACTAGATCCCCGTTACACACCCACATTGGAATGGATGGGATGCTCAGATGGCTGTTTAAACAGGTTAATTGGGCTGGCCTCTCGAGAGATCGGGACAGATGGATCAATGGATAGAATGAAAGAAGAGAGAAAGAGAGAGTGAACATGAGACAAAGAGAGCTCAGAAATATAGAAAAGAGGTTGGATGAAGAGATGAGAGGAGTCTGGCCGCTGATCACAGTCTCCACAGGGAGTATGCAGTCTAATCAGAGTAGAGTGGGGCTGTACAGTGGGCTTGGCCCTCGGTGGCTGACTAAACAGAGCCAGGTCCACTGTCCACTACTGATAAATTATAAAAAGAGGACAAACTTGTGATAGAAGGCTGTTTAAAGCTATGTTAGAAGCTCATCAGGGAGACTGATTCTCTGATGCCAATCATGGACAGTGGCTCATCTCTCTATTCTTCACAATAACCTTCAAAAGGATGATGGTAGTGACCAACGCCTACTATAAAAAATGCTCACAGTGCACAAGCAGACGGAGTCAAAAATAAAGAGAGTATGCACTGGACACAGACTCTTTTCAAACTGTGTTGTG